AAAAACTACTAATTACCAAACAGAGTACGAAAAGGCGTTAACCGAATCAATTTAATTCCCAAGATTTAACAGAATAAAAAAAGTCAAATATTATAAGGCACTGTTTCGGTAATTGAATTTTTCACCGAGAAATATATAAATTTCATATTCGCAACAGAATCAATATATAGAACTTTAGCTATAATTAATTGTAACGGCTACTTTTAAAAAAATAAAGGAAAATCGTGCATTTAGATACAAATGCGTGTGCTTTCAAATTTCAAAATAAAATACAGTCGGACCCCGATTTAACGAATTCATCGAGACCGAACAGTTTATTCGTTAATTCGGGGTTATTCGTCCTATCGGGGTAAAAACAAAATACATTTCCCACTTATGTTTCGGATACTTTATGATAAGCAACTACACAAAAAATATGCATATTTAGAAGTTACGTCATTTTTATTCAAGAGCTAAAAATGCTATTAGTGAATTATTACGAGTTAGTTAATTGGAAATTTTAAAATGCTCACTAATAGATGTTTGACAGTGTTTTATTCCAAACTCGAAAGAGTTCTTTTTTTATTTTTACGCAAAGAAAATATTGTGACATTTACATCCTGCACAATTTCCTAACAATGTAAAAGCATTAGGAAATGTAATAGTTTCAGAAAGGAATTTCCTGTCCAATTCAAAAATCTCGCAATGTGTTACATATGACTCCACTACACCTGTAAATTGTAATAATGGGCTTTACCCTTTCTCATTGAAATCTGCTACTTACAAGGAAAAGCCTTTTCTGTTCCGGACAAAAAGGATGTTATTTGAAAGTGAAATCCAATTTTTTACTATCTTAACTAATAAAAAAATGAAGTAATTCGTTAATTCGGGGTTTATTATTCGTTAAATAAGGGTTCGGTAAATCAGGATCCGACTGTAATTTAATGGCAACCGTTGTATGCCGAATCAATTTCACTGAGCAAAAATAAAACAAAGTCAAAATATTTTTTAATAAACAGGTGGTGGGAAAAAACCGAACTATGCATAATTATTTATCACAAAAAAGAAGAAAATGTTTTACAAAGCTAACATGAAATAAGAAAATGGCAAGTTAAAACAATAAACATGAAATAAGAAAATGGCAAGTTAAAACAATAACTGATTTTTTGTAAAGGAAGAATGAAAATTCTCAATAATACTAAGAATAGTTGTTTTAGAAATTTCAATGCACACATAATTACAGAAGAGCTTTAAAATAATACATAATCAAACTGGGAACTTTTTCTTCAAGGAAAAGAATATCAGAAATACTTTAAAATTTATCATAATTTAGTGGTCACTGTTCATTGGTAATCTGTTTTTAATATTTAAATCAAATTGTCATATTTGTTTACCTTTCTTTTTAACCAAAAACGATCCTCAGATCTCCAACTCTAATAGAACAAAAAACTACAAAAATTTTAAACTGAAACTATTTAGATTTACAAGATTACTAACTATTCTGGAGAATTTAAACTGCCTCTACTATACAGAAAAGGCAGATTATTTAACATTACATATGCATTTTAACTTCGAATACGGAACATACGTAGAAAAAGTTAAGTTTTGAATAAACACCAATTTGTCACACAAAATATAAGAACATAATTATATTTATAGAAAATTTGTTACCCCTTTGAATATGCATTAATTGGAAAATTTATCATTGATTAATTTTTTTAAAACACGATTAATATACTGAAATCAATACTTTTTTCTATTTCTTATTCCCTTCTTAAAACTTCAGCAGGATTATTTAAAAAAAAAACTACTTAGAAATGAATTTTCTAAACTATGTCATCCCAAAACAAATTTTAAAGCACGTTCTAACACAGCTGCTCTGTTACACCCCACAATCCCTTTAAGTTCATCATTCAAGTCTTTCGGCACTCTTAAAGTCTGCTTGACTTCAAATACACCACGCTTTCGCCACGTGACAGCCACTTCTCACGCACAGCAAAAGATCAACTTACACCCCCCTCACTAAATCGATACGCGAAATCACGATACTGTTTATGCACATCCGAGAGAAGAACCAAAAACGCACGCATATTTACCTGAACGGGATAGCTTCTGTAGTCGCAGAGAACGCGATTTCTCGCCAGAAACTGTAATGACATTTGGATCTTGCCGTTCGACGCATAGCCTTCTTTAAAATTCTCTCGATTCCGAAAGGCACACAGGTATATATCTATATATTAACCACGTTCTCTTCTTTTTTCTTCGAAAAATAAAAAAAATTATAGAAGTTGCCGGTGAAGAGCACTGTCACTCGAAGTATATTTCACATTTTTGCACTAGAGGGGGCTTGTCATGCCCTGAGAGGAAAAATTTCGATGCAGGGTTTTCGTTCAAGAATTTTCGCGGTTCTCAGTTTTCGGTGCTTCCATTTTTCGGAAGCAGACCGAGCGACAGCGGGAAACGCGCTTCTGGATTGATCGGTTCCAGGAGGACGGGCAGTGCCCTCTCTCGGCCGGATAGGGAACTAACCTGTTCTTGAACAGTGAATCAAATGCATGTTGAAGTGAAATCTTTCAATTAAAAAATAGAAAGGGTAATTATTCATTGTCACATTTTCCAAAACATTTCGAATAAAGAAATTAGTAAAACTAAGAACAAGGTTTCTTCGAGCTATTAAGAAACATTTATTAATCAATAATTTAACAATAACATTTAAATCTAAGAACTGCCATAATAGGTAATAAAGTCATTTAAAGGATAATTATACTGTACACTACATTTAGTATTTTACCGCTAATTGTTACAAGTGTTTTGAGGATATATAAACCCTTCGTAAAATGAATCAGTCTATGTAATTTTTTTATAAAACTGATTAACGAAAATAAACTAACCATTTTTGTCACATTTACGAGTTACTTTAATGTGATAAATAATGTAATATTTTAATGATCAAAACATATAATAAAAAACTTCTCATTGCTATCCATTGGCCATTTTGATCGCATTAATTACAATTGAGAGATCAGATTTATTTTAAAAAGTTGCAAAGAAAATTCGATTTTGAAAGATATAAAAAAATAATATCAAAAGAATTTTACACACTAAATTACATTTATCAAACTCATCTTGTGTATCTTGTAACAATATCATATACCATTCCATCATATTCCTAAAGAGATGTACTTTTTTCAAACAGAAAAATAATCTCCCACAGTTTAATTTATAATGTATGTTATCAAAGCTAAAAATTAATATCTAATCAAGATTGATAGTCAAGTAACTTATTTTCCATGTGTCGCGCACCCTGTAAAACGGAATTCTTACATGAATACTTTAAAGGCGGGAAAAACAAGATACCCGAATAGTGTCATTCTACACAATTTTCACCTTAATGAGGAGAGTAAAACAACTTAGCGCATTTCTCAGTTTATTCACAAGCATATAAAAATAAAAAGATATGAATACCAGAATAAAAGAAATTATTGACATAAAAAGCGATAAAACTTTCACCCCCTTCCAGACGACCTCTTTTAAAACTTCATTATTACAAAATGCAAGTACACTCCTATGCTGCCATCTAGGGGAAGAAATTAGATTCTACTATTGACCGACCCTAATTCGAAGAGTCGTAGATGTGTGATTTTACGCATTCAGCTAACATCAAAATTCTTAATGCAATGACAGATGGACATTTTTAATATCTCTAAAACATAACTCAAGAGTTTTCTGGCAAATTTCCCTAGATATATTAAAAAAACTTGTGAATTTTTCGTATATTAAAGTGGAAAAAGACGTAAAAAATTTACAAAATACTATTATATAAATATAGATAAAGCAATTATGCGAGAATTGACACTTTGTATATATTAAGAAAAGACGTTGATTCAACAAATACAAAATAACTGTTACTTTGGTTGCAACTTTGTTTCAAAAAATAGAATCACAAACCATCTGAATAATTCAGAACATTGAAGTGCTGAACAATCGATAACAGGGGGAGGGGGTATACTAAGAATGACTTAGACTACAAGCTAGTTAAAATTTAGAGTAAGTTTTTTTTCCTTTTCTTTATTCAGTTACTTTTAGCACAGAATTGTCTTTTTTCATGTCTAAATTAAGGAAATCCTTCAGACGATTAAAAAAAAAAAGTTCCGTCAACTGAACCAACTCATGTATAAGTTTCAGACACGACCTCAAATACACGAGGAAAAATTTCAAACTTTAAGAGAGAGTTGATTCAAAACCACAGCCCTGCGCGCGCATATCACCGCTAATTTCAAACTCATCAATCGTGGAGTCGGGAAAAAGTTGGCAAGTAAACATTCCTAGTGCTGGTGGTAGTCGGAAACCCTGTGAAGAAGAATGTGCCCGGGCTGAGCAAAAATCGATTCTTTCTGGCCCTTTCTCCGCCTTCTCTTGCGGTAACTAGAGACTAAAGGCTATAGGTGGTGGGAAAGCTTTCGTCACCGAAGGACCAAGAGGCACAACTATTGATTTTATTTGGCCACGCGCTCTCCACGAAGACCTTGAGGGGCGGATGCTTGTGGCCCCGGGGGGAATTGGCCGTGTCTTGGGGGGCAGACTGGGGAAGAACGACAAGATGGAATTCAAGAAGGTGGTTGGGATGGTCTTCGAGGAAAGGGTGCAATGTCATGATTACGTAAGAAATTAGGTATGGTCAAATGAAAGACAACTTGGTTTCAAAAACTCTATAGGTACAAATATGAAACAAGTACTATAAAAAAAAATTACGTCAATTCCTACTTAGGTCAACGAAGAAAATTTTTATTTTAGTTACTTTTTATTTAATAGTGACAATTAATATGAATATGTATATACATATGACAGAATCACAATATTAAGTGACAAAATAGAAATCGATTTTCCTACCAATTTTCCATTTTCCTTTCTATATAGGGTGTTGGATATTTTGTTTGTTACTATTTATTCATTAATTAAATATAGTTATTCTAATAAAATAGTATAGTAAAAAAAAGAAATCACATTTTCAGAAATTAGTCCATCCCAGATGGGATTCTAACCCACGACCTTTGGATTAGAAGTCCAAAGCGCTATCCAATGTGCTAAAGGGACACAACGAACGATTTTTTCTTTCTATATATGCTGTTGGACTATTTTTTTTGTTTATTACTACTTATTCATTTTTTAATTTGATTTATGAATTAATATTTGAAAAAAAACTGTATTAATATCAAGTGTCATCCACTACAAGTTTAAAAAAATGTATTTGAACTTGATTGGATGAATAGAAAGCATTTTATTAACGATTGAAAATTTGAACAAAATATATAAATAAATATATATAGGGAGAGTGTGAACTAATAGTAAGAATTAAAAAAGAAAAAGGTTATCGAGAACACCATGTGATTTTTTTAAAAAGGAAATCCTTTCCTTAAATTCTGTGAATGAAACGTAAAAATGAAACCAAAAGTAAGGAATTTGATGAAAGAGAATTAAATTAGATTTTTAGTTAATAAAGCTATTTTGAAATACGTAAATTTTAAAATGACCTAATTCAAGAAACTTCAATTCGAAGAATTTAATAAACCGTATGACTTTTCCGGAAAACACATTACCTTGTGAACACATTTCTTTTACATAATTTTTTAAAGGCAGTATTCAATGAATACCAAGATTATAATGAAAATACCATTTTACTATGACACAATACAACTCAAGACCTTAATTTTGGTGCCTGAAAGTAGATTTTCTCCAGATTTACGTTCTCTATAAAAAGCCTCAATGATCCTCTATATCCAGAAGAAAAAAAAAGCGATTCAGTATTTCGGAAACATACGGGAACTACCAAGTTTCCAATGATTTTTTTTTCTCAGGAATAATGTAATCGCTAGCTTTTTTTAATGAAATAATTTGTACTTGTTTTGATACCTAACATTATGAACCCATTGCTAAGTTTCTCTGTTTTAACTCTATGAAATTAATTAAAGGAAAAATCAGACTTCAGTTAGTTTAATAACGAAAAGTGTTATGGGGGTGGCCATAATTTTGGTATCCGTGGTCTACTCCACATTTAAAAAATCGAAGGCGGTCTACCAATGGCAGAGCTAAATTAACGTAACGTACATTTTTATATATTTATTTTCGGTAACAAGAAAAAATGGTAAATTATCTAATTTTTCTAAAAAAACTTAATATTAATATTTACAAAATAAAAATTTACTGACGAAAATAATCAAAGTATTCATACATCAAAAATTCACCATCCTATTCACTTCGTTTAGTTGAAATTTGGATATAATCTAAGCATCCCACTTTGTCAAGTTGATTCTATTTAATTCACCTCTGTAAAACGACAAATTCATTTTATTACTTTGCACAGTTTGTTTTAGGTTTTAAAGCGTAAACTGCAGTAAATTTTTATTTTAAATAATTCATTAATTCATAGTCATAAGTCATACATTAAATTGTTAATATCCGAGGTCATTATCGGGATTTTCGCGCGGACTACCTAAAATAACTTCGCGGTCGACGTCTTGGCAACCCCTGATCTATACCAATGTCTTGTATCCCTCATTGAAATGTTAACAAAGTGCGAAAATGTTTAAAGAAATTAAAAGCTATATAATTGCAGTGATAGTTCCACAAAAAGTTATGCGGGCCAGCACTTTGGATCATAACTAGCACTGTGCCTTACGTGGCTTGCGTGTTTTAACCATTAGCTAAAACCCCTCATAAAATTTTATTTTCCCGTAACTGTTTCTAGTAAATATACACAATTTGAATAAACTTAATGAAGATCATTTTAAAAAATATGTCATGCGAGGTTTTGTTTTTGATTTACCAAAATGTTTATATCCGATATATACAGCCCTTTTAGTCGAAGAAAATTCAGATCACAAATCATATACTTAAAAATTAAAATAAATTTGATATTTTATCGTTAAAAATACATCGTTGAAAATGGCATTTCTCGTACGTAAATATAGAACTGAAATAGTTCCTCCATTCTATTGATACGTGCTCCAACTAGAAGCAGAATCTTATATTTATTTTAGTCTGCGCTTTATACCGCATTTAATATTTCTAATTGTAATCAGAATTCTGCATGTGCTGGGAAAAAAGGACATTCAACATACCAAATTTAACAATTTTTGAACTTTTTTTTAAACAAATTCCAGATTAATGTTGGGTAGAGAATGATTGGAATATTTTTGTTTGCAATCAAAATTATTTTGCCCATAAATATAATCCAAAACCTCCATATTACGAATACCTATATTGCGAATTTTTCTATGTAGTGAACCTTTCCCTTGAACCAAGAAAATTTCACGATTTTCTTCGTAAAATAACCTCCCACAATAGCGAAGTGTATTTTCTATATAACGAACTTTTACTCTTAAGGGATTTTTGGTGCATTGTAAAGATGTGAAGCGTATTATGAAACAAAGCATTTTTTCAAACAAAATTAACAGCTTTTATGAGTCATTAATGTAGTAACGTACGCTTAGAATTTCTAGTTATAAAATAATGTTATGTTTAAAATTACTTGCATGCTTTAAATTAGAAAAAGTCCTTAAAATTTATTAATTTTAACAAATATTACTTTCTTAACTTTAAAAATACCTTGTATTTCTCGATATTCTTTTTTTCCTTGCAGTTTTTCTTTCCTTTTTTTTTCTGGGTAAGATATATACAATAAATAGATAAGTTAGAAAAAGGTGTGAATAATTACTGTTTTTTAAATATATAGTGTTCATGAATTTAAATTTCTTTAACGTGGTTTCTAAAGTGTATTGAAAGATGAACCTCCATATAACGAATTTTCCATACAGCGAACTCATTTTCGGGATTTAGAGACTTCGTTAAATAGAGGCCCGACTTTAGTTACTAACGCATAAAAAAACCTATTCCCTCCTTTATTTCCTCCAACGCAGAAAAAGATCAACCTTTTCACGAAATTAAACGCCATTTTCTCCAAACTTGTAAGCCATTTTTCTTTCTGAATCTAGAATGAACCTTAATAATCTTTCCCATGATCAATGCAAAGAGCTGTCTACATCCCATTATCACCCAGTGAAATACATGACCTTCTCAAGATTAGAAAACACTCAAGACCGTCCTAAGTTTCCTCCCAAACTCTCGCCTTACAGTCAATGATCTTGCACAATGGTGTTGTGGGCGCATGTCTCCGAACAATGGCTATTCCGTGTCAATGTCTGAAAGAGCAATGATCGATGGGCTCTTCTGTATTCCGCGGAGATGATTGACCATCGTCCGAGTGAGAGAGAACAGTGTCACACGTAATGAGCAGAGACACAACACTTCTTATCCATCATGGGATTCCGGTTATGATTGACCTCGTCAAGTGATGGTTCATCGGAGAGGAGACCCCAGGAAATGCCGGTGGGGACAAAAGTTTGATATTCATATATAAGAAATGTGAAAGATGCTAAGTCGCTACATTTAAATATTTTTAATGGTAAATTAGAGATACTGTTTTCACATACAATTTCAAAGGAATGAACTAAATAATTAAACTCCAATATTGCACATAAAGGCTTGTTTTAAAAAGATTTTCCTTTGGCTTACACCCATGTTTTTCTTTATTATGAATAAAATATTAGTTCCTGAATATAATGGGCATATTTTCTTCAATTTTTATACAACAAAGTTAAATAGCATTACATAGGTTAGATTCCCCCATCCCCTTTAAATTCAACTATTTCTAAAGAAGTAAGAGGCGTTTAAAGTGACAAAACGCAAACTTCCACACACACATTTCTAGTGCTTCTCAAAATTCAGAAAAGTCCAGAGTTGGTAAATGATATTGTTTTTTTTTTTTTTAAAAAAAAAAAATAATTCCAAAAATAATTTTTCCAAGGAAACTAAATTTAAATGTATGATGATTATAAACACTTGATTATTATTTATTACATATTGTATATTTATTATAGATTAATCTCATTATAACTATATTTGAATTAATTTTCATATTGCCATAGAGCAATACAAATTGTCACAAATTAAGAGGTCTGAACAAATGATGCCGCAAATTATCTATATACTTTCCCACAAAACTAAGTGGCCGCGATAGCCTAGTGATCAAGGTATCGGTTCGCGGCTGGCATGTCCCGCGCGCGAGCGCGAGTTCGGGCCCAGTACCACTAAAGGGGTACCACGTGTAGGGCAGCGATGCACATTAAATCTGATGAGAGTTGAAACGTCCTCCCGTTGGTGTGGTGTGGTAGTTAGGAGAGGGAGGTGCCACTCAGGTGTCGTCCTCGTCACATGACCGTGGTTCAAAATTACGAGGTCCGTCGCCAAAAGCCCTCGTGTAGCTGAACAGGGCGACGTTAATATTCACTCACTCCCACAAAACTAAAAGCAAAAAATTAAAAATGCTTTGAAAATTTTCGTGACTTTGCAGCTACTGACTATCACCTGTTTCATGCATTGATCAGCACTTTCAATTGAAAATTCTTAAGTGATCTAGATCGGGGTTGGCCAACTTTTGAATGCGAAAGATCTGCTTATTCAAATTTTTGTGTAGCGATCGACTTCAAGTGGGTGGTGCAGACTGTAAGGTAAATAAGTTCCTAAAGTTAAAGTCCTAAAACGCATAATTGGATCTTCATAATTTAGTTAATCTTAAACAAATCACGGAAGAGTCCAAGATGACTTCTTAAATCGCTTTACTGAGACCATAATGATAGTTTTATCCAGTGCTTTCAAACCATCACTCTAGTAGATATGATCTTTAATGATCGATAGAGGTCGAACAGTCGATCGCGTTCGACTTGTTGGTCAGCCCTAATCTAGATATTATGAAAAGTGTCATCTTAAACTTCTTTTACTTCAAATAGCAAGATTTCTACCGACATCCGTTTCCTCTCGACAAAACAGATAATAATGGCGAATACGCACACCTCAAGCTTTGTACATTTTGCAGTTTTTCATAGTCACAAAAAAAACGGGTAGAACTTTCGCACTTGTCTAATACATAAAAAAAATGGGGAAAAAAATGTTTAATATCTGATTCGTAACTCTAACTAAAATTAGCTTTAAAAAAAATTAAGACTTCATAAAGAAGAATCAAAGAAAAGTCTGTAGAA